AGCAGGAGCGGGAGCCGGGTGCACGGTGAGTAGCTGGGTCCTCATCCCGGAGCGAGAGAGGCATCTGCTGACCAGGCGCGGGGCTGAGCGCACTCCTTCCACTGTACTGGGGGTGTACAGTGAGGAGTGGACGGGTTCTCTCTGCGCCCCCCTTATCCTAGCCCTCTGCGCCGCCGCCCTGGCCCCTTAGCAGGTGGTGCGGACCCGGACAGTGGCTGGGGGCCAGAGGGACTGCGGGGAGCGCGTGGTGGTCCCGGTGCCCGGCCAACCCAAACTTTTTCCGCTGAGTGGTGGCCCGCGCCGCCCCGCTTGGGTCTTCTTTCCATCCACTGGGGTGGGGGCTGTGGTGGGGGTAGCCGGCGGCTGTGGTTCCGGAGCGGGAGTCGGAGGTGGGTGTGCGAACCGGACCGGGGCCCCAGAGACTTCGGACTCGCTCTCCGCGAGAACGACGACCGAGGTGAGGTTTTCCAGGGTCTTGGGAACGAGTCTGCGGTAAAAGAAGCTCTAGGGATGGCCCCGGGGACGTGAGGCGCTGAGCTTCCCCGGCTGAGTGCGGAAAGGGGCCAACACTGTGCAGCAGACCACAGCCGGAGGAGGGATACGGGGGTGCAAAGCGAAGCCATCTCCCGGCGTCCATGGGAGAACGCAGGCACCCCTGGCTCAAAGCACCGTCCCAGCCTCCCACTCCACGGCCCTTCTGCATGCATGTGCGGGGACCCGCGGCTATCGCTAGATGGAGAACTGGGGTGCTCAAGGCGCACCCTGCCAGAACGCGCCGACCGGACAACAAAGAGGAGCTTGGACAGACCAGGAGCTTCATGGCTGTAGAAAGTCGGAAGCTCGGGATCAGTTTCCCCGAGAGCCCGCGTCTGGAGAGGCAGGGAGTCAGATCGGAAGGAGGAACTAGCTCCGGAACCCCTTCTCTCTGGCAAGATCGCCCCCGATCGGTGCCCAACAGGGGCCGCGGCGGGGAACTGGCGCCGACAAGCTCGGAGCAGCCAACTTACTCCGGCAACCCCCTCCCCTGCGCGGCTGCGAATTCCTGGAGTCTCTTGGCTTCCCGCGCCCGCCCCGCCGCTCATTCTTTTGTGTCCCGCAGCTCGCGAGAGGCTTCCTCCCAGAAGGGAGCTAGACCGGGAGGGGGATTGGCCTGGAGGTGGTTTGGAGGTAAAGGGCGGGGAAGCAGGCGCCCCAGGCTTCCTTCCGCAACAGGTTGCTCCTGGAGCCCGCGAGGGCGACTGACCTTTCTGGAGAAAGGTTTGCTGGAGTTCCTGAGGGCGGCAGCTGTTCTTTGTTAAGAGAGCAAGTGCACGATCTTAGTTCTTGAGTGCCCCCCAAGATTCACGTGACACGATCAACTGCGGCGATATGTTGGGTTGAATCATAAGAAATTGTCGGTTTTTTGGATGGAAGATATGAATATCGTCAACCTCATATGATTTAACTTGTGTGATGTTACCCATTTTTCTTTTCTCACCGTCCTCTCTGTCCCGGTTTTCCTAGGAGCCCCGGTGGAGTTGAGCTCAGAGTATTGATGCTAAGCAGAAGCAGACAGACCCCAGATAGCCTTCTAGCTGAGTGCCAGGTGCTTTACCTATTAGATCGCTAGCCTGCCAACCCTATGCGAAATCCGCCTTTGACAGAGGAGCAGAAGAAGGGTTGGAGAATGCAAACAACTGTCATCTTGGCAGAGTTAGTAAGGAGGACCAGAGCCCCCTTACTGTTGCTATTGTCTGTCTGTTTAGCAGTGCCCTTTAGTTTATTCTTGTTTTTTTTTTTTTTTACTGTGTTCCATAATTTTTTTCTAAACTTCCTTCTGATTTCTAAACTTCTGATTTCTAAACTTTTCTAAACTTCTTTCTGATTTCTAAACTTCCTTCTGATTTTTATATGAGACAGTTTCTTTGTGTTTTAGTACAGTGAAGTAAACAAATGCATCAGAGGACAAACTGAAAACTTTAAACCAAGTGTTGTTTTGTTGGTCCTGTTTAAAATCTAAAGGAAATAGGTTTTTCAGGGAGCAAAGAGCTATTTCTGAGATTTGTTAAGGGTCAGGATATTTTGTTAAAACAGTGGAAGCTGAGTCTGGGGTAATTTTATCAGATAAAAGACTTCTTGGAAGGATGGACCCTGGGTGGCTTAGGGAAGTGGCAGGAAGGCTAGTCAGGCTTAGGAATCCAAGACATGCCACGGGACCCCTGATGCGGGGATGGCTGCGGCTGCCAGAACAAGCCCCTGGATGTGGCTGCTGGCATTGCTGCCATCATTGCTGGAATGAATTACAGACACTGCCCTGCTTCAGAGCGCGCAGGCCCAGGCCCAGAAGAAAGCTTCTGATTGGCCCAGCGTGGCTCAGCTCCGCCAGGACAGTTTGGGCACCTCAGCGGGCCTCACAATGCAAGGCAGGGCTGCCTCCCACCCAGCTCACAAAGGTGATCTCAGAAATTGGGTATCCCCCATGCCCCCACCAAAAGCACCCCAGATGGCAAAAATCCACTACAAAGATCTTTTTTAAAAAGAAAGCTTCTGAGAAGTTCCATCAAACGAAGAAAAGAAATGAAGGTGATCGATCACCATATTTGCTTTTTCATTATTTATTTATTTATTTATGTATTTATTTATTTATTTTTGAGACGGAGTCTCCGTCGTCCAGGCTGGAGTGCAGTGGTGCGATCTCGGGTCACTGCAACCTCCGCCTCCCGGGTCCAAGTGATTCTCCTGCCTCAGCCTCCCGAGCAGCTGGGACTACTAGCGTGTACCTCCCCTCCTGGCTATTTTGTGTGTGTGTATTTTTAGTAGAGACGGGGTTTCACCATGTTAGCCAGGATGGTCTCGATCTCCAGACCTCGTATCTGCCTGCCTCGGCCTCCCAAAATGCTGGGATTACAGGCTTGAGCCACCACGCCCGGGCCATGTTTGCTTTTATACAAGTATTGAAATGCAGTTCTCTGGACTCCAGGCTCAGAATCACCTAAGGTCGCCCAGGCTGGAGTGCAGTGATATGATTAGGGCTCACTGCAGGCTCAACCTCCTGGACTCAAGTAATCCTCCTGCCTCAGTCTCCCAAGTAGCTGGGACTGCAGTTGTCCACCACTATGTTCGCTAATTTAAAAATTTTTTTTTTTTTTTTAAATAGAGACAGGGCCTCTCTATGTTGCCCAGGCTGGTAGCAGTTCTTCAGTGAGGATCAACTGTGTTCCATGCTCTGGGGATACAGAAATAAGCCAGGGACCTGCACAGCAGCTGGGATAGATCAATTCAAAGCTATATGAAAAGGGCATTTGGGGAGCTTTCACCTTACATCTGTTATTTTCCAATATGTTTGGGAAGCCTGAAGTGTCCTTGGAAAGTGACATGAATTGACTAGGTGGATGCTCCAGGATCAGAGTACTCCAGGAACAGAACTGTTCTCAAACTTTGTTTGAAGGATCAGTCCCCAGGAGAGCTTATTAAAAATGCAGATTAATGAGCTTCATCCCAGAAATTAGGTCCATTAATAGTCTGCATTTCAACTAAACACCCCATTTTATCCTGAGACAGAGGCTGCTCTCAGTGGCTCTCGGACCTACTGGGATTTAGCAGGTAAATACTCAGAGCTTCTCTTTTTGGCACAACCTATTAAACCCGAGATGAAAAACTCTTCCTCTTTGACTTGACTGTAATCAGTTTCTAGTATTTCATAGTTAGTGAGATTTTAATACTTTCTTAAAATGTACTTTAAAACTTCAGGGGGACCTACATTTTGGAGCAAGATGTAAAGAAATCTGGAAGTGCAACTCCAGTTGCTGTCTATCTCAAATCATTGTCTCCCATCTTTGCTGCAGTGAGCAGTTGTGTTTCATTTCACTGGGAATTTCCCTTCCCCTGCTTTGTCACTGAGGGAGTTGGAAAGCTTGTTTGTTCATAGTTCTTTCCTGGGCAGTTTCTCTCTGTCCTGGACTGAGGCTTGGTGGAATTACCAGAAAGTGGGCCTTCTCAGCATCTGAGCCTTTAATCCTTCCAGCTGCTGTGCTGGAGGCTTAGCTCTCTGCCTGTCCTTTAGCAAAAAAAAAAAAAAAAAGATAAAATGTACGTGTGGTGTGTTGTGCTTGCAGTAGATGTTCGAAGGGCGCCCTTTGGAAACACCAGGGTCGAGGTGTCTACTGTGGGTGTGATGGAGGGCAGAACCTGAAGCGTGGGGCACGAGGTTAGTACTGGCAGCCACTTGGGATCTCAGCAGCCCATGATTTGACAAAGGAAGAGTTTGGGGCCATTGTATTGGTAGCTCTGTGCAGGAGTAATTGGAGTGGGACAGGACTTAGAAGATGAGGCAATGGAGGGATTAGATATGAATTAACATCTTTGTTCAAATAGCTCATGAAATCCCGTCTCTTGTCCAAAGCTTTCTTTGACTTGGAACATTGGTAGTGGGTCCTCTCGCCTCTTGTAAAGTATGTCACTTTCTTCATCATCCCCCTTCGGTTTCTTACAGCGTGGGTTTCAGGAGCACCGTGTCCTTATCCTGAAAGTCAGTAAGTATGTATCTAGCTCACAAAATGACAGCAGCTTGCTCTTGCTCCAGAACCCTTAATACGGAGAGGGAGAGTGGCACATCCCGGATCCTTCCAGGTCCTGTGCTGATTTGCCTAGTCTCATGAAACCGCACAAGGAAATAACATATTTTGGCTTCTACGCCAGCGCCTGCCCTGTAGCTCTGAAGCAGGCGGTGTTTGGTTTTCACCCACCTACCTGGATTAGGCTGAAGGCCTTGCTCTAAAGCTTTGCAGCCTCCTCTCTGGGGCAGTTCTTGCTGCAGGCAGGTTACATGCATTGTTGACTCTGCTGCTGTTTCTTTCGCTGCCGGGGATGGTGCCATGAGTGAAACAAGCGGCTCAGCAGGCTCTTACGAAACACCAACTGTGTGCCATGCCCAGTGTTAAGGTCTGGGGATTGAAAGAAGAATAGGGCAGGGTCCACCTTGGAGGCACTTTCAGTCCCATTTCCTTCCCAGATGCTGGAGCCACAGCTGCTTTTAGGATTCTTGTTGTGTTTCTCCCTCTCCCAAGGGATAGGCAGGAGTCTCCCTCTGCCCTGGCTGTCATCTCTGAGAACCTTGTTGTCAAGGTGGTTACTTGGGGTGAAGGTTTCCATCAGGATTACTTAGTAAGCTTATTAGAAAGACAGGTTCCAGTGTCACACATGTGTCCAGACTCAAACAGTGTGGTCCCTAGCTTTGAGGCCATGCCCTTCTACTTTGGATTGGGGGTGAGGTGGAGAGGGGGATGTTTGAAATGAGATTAGTGAGTAAGTAAGTAGAATATAAGGCAGAGTAAGATATATCTCCAGCAGCAAGGAGAACAACGCACACTTGGAGAAGAAATAAGCATATAAGCATATACTGGATTACTGGGACCCCAGTGGCTCTTACTAGAGCCTGAGAGAGGGACACTGTAGAGACAGTGTCTTGACGTCATAGTTAGATCTTGGACTTTGAAGGCAAACTAGTGAGTTTGACTCTTGGCCGCATGGTTAATCACCTGTGACCTTGGGCAAGTCACCAGAACCCTCTCTGTGTCAATTTCCTCATCTGCAGAATGGAATAATACCTCAAACAAGGAGGACCTTGTTTCTATCTATGAAGCATAGATAACAGTGCCTGAAAGATAGTAAGTGCTCAATAAATGTTCGTTTCCAAGATCCCAAGCCTTCTCTACAAAACCTAGTATTTCCCGAACACATCAAGGGTGTGTGTTCTGAGTCTGGCCCTCCTGAGGAGGGACTTTATCTGAGTCATGGCTTTGATGCCAGCGGCCCTGTGGCTCTGGAGCAGTTTGTGTGCTTGGTGTCCACCCACCCATCCGGATTAGGCGCGAGGCCTCGCTCTAAAGCTTTGCAGCCTCCTCTCCGGACAGCTCCAGGTGCAGGCAGGTTACATGCGTTGATGACTCTGCTGCTGTTTCTCTCCCTGCCAGGGATGGTGCCTTGAGTGAATGACCCCCTTGGAGAACATTCTTCTGGAGATGTCCCTCGCCTCAAGCCAGCCTCAGACAGAAAACTGAAGATTCAGCAGATCCAGTGCTTCCTGCTCCACTTCTGCTCAGGAACACGCTTGTCTTCCCCAAGGCTTCCAGAACTTCTGAGGCAGGAGGCACCCAGTTCTACCTCATGTTTGGAGGATCTTGCTAGCTATGGCCCTTGTACTCGGCTCCCTGTTGCTGCTGGGGCTGTGCGGGAACTCTTTTTCAGGAGGGCAGCCTTCATCCACAGATGCTCCTAAGACTTGGAATTATGAATTGCCTGCAACAAATTACGAGACCCAAGACTCCCATACAGCTGGACCCATTGGCATTCTCTTTGAACTAGTGCATATCTTTCTCTATGTGGTACAGCCACGTGATTTCCCAGAAGGTAAGTGCTGATGGCAGGGAAAGATAGGATTTATCTCCAAACGTACCTACAGTATTGTTTTTTAATGTCAATGCAATCAGTATATAATATATTCAGTATTTTAGTGACTGCTTTGCACAGAAGCAGAAAGCATTTAGACAGAAGTTAAGAAGACTTGTACCAGGTTAAATAGGTTGCGAGGAATGTTATCACGAGAAATGGAAGCAAACGATATTGCTATGTTGGTTTTCCACTTCTTCACCTTTTGTTTTGCTTTGTTTGGGTTAGAGCAATGAATTATTCTAAGGCACTTACCAAAGGTAAAAGTTATAGTAAAGTTAGGATAAAAATGCAAATTTTATATCATCAAAGGAGAAACGAATAACTATCTAGCATCTGATGGCCACCTCAACGCTTAAAAATTTAACTCTCTTCTGCCCACCACAATATGCAAATTTTGACATTGCTTAGGGTAAGGACAAACACGTTTACCTGACCAGCTGTTTTCTTCCATTCTAAGAGCTTGGGTGTGCCGAAGAGGATTGGCACTTGCCAGAATTGTCATGCCATGGTGTTGTTATTCATCACACACAGTGCCGTTCGTCATTTTCGCCTTATTAATGTTTGTTGTTTTCCATACTCTTCTGAATTCAGGGTATATGTTCATAGAAAAGGGATTATAAATATAAAAAAGCCTGTGAGAAATATCTGCTAGTAGGGTTTGGCACCTACATTTTTGATTGGCTTAACAGTAAATCCATCCTAAGCCTGTTCTTTTAGCTGCAAAGATTTGATTACAATCATTGATTACAGAATTTGCTGCAATCTTTCTTATCATTTTCCTTAGCTGGTCAGCTACTGTTTGTAAGAGTCCTAGTGGTGTGTGTATGTGTCTGTGTGTGAGAGAGAGGGAGAAAGAGAGAGAGGAGGTATTCAGTGAATCTCCTCACTTGTTTATATTATGGGGAGTTTGTAGATTTTCATTAAAATACATTTGTATTGATTTTTTAACACCTATTTGTCTTAAATTGGTCAATTAAAACAGCTTGAAGTATAGCTGTCAATTTTTGCTAATTTAAATTTCAGTTCAGGAAACAAATCTCTTTGAATGGTTATTGTCATTGAAGAGAATCCTGAACAAATGCTGCTTACTGTTTATGTTGCTGTTAAAATACTAACTTTGGAAATCCCAAAGACAGAAGTAGAAAATTAGCTGAGTTTATTAATTAACATTGGATACAAATTCACTCTTCTGAATAGATATTTCTTGGTTTATTTGGAGACTTAATATATGTTACTGAATAAAATAACCTACTAACGTTTTTATTTAAAAAATATTTTAATTTTTGCGGGAACATAGTAGGTGTATCTATTCATGGGGTGCAAGACGTATTTTGATACAGACATGCAATGTGTAATAATCACATCATATAAAATGGCGTATCCATCCCCTCAAACGTTTATTCTTTGTGTTACAAACAATCCAATTACTCTTTTAGTTATTTCAAAATGTACAATTATGTTATTATTGACTATAGTCATCCTGTTATGCTATCAGATACTAGGTCTTATTCATTCTTTAAAACTATTTTCCTACTAGTGTTTTTAGCCTTTGCTTCTTGGTTTTGTTTTAGTATAAAAGGCATTGAATTCAGTTGTTGAATATGAATTTACAATCATTTCCTCAAAAAGATTGGAAAGCTTCCCATGCCTCATTCTAAGGCATATCATGTAATTAGTTAATCCCATAATCTCTTTCCATATGTTGCTCTATTTTGGTCCCTTTAGATTTGATTGGAAGGTTTCTTCATACTTTTTTTTTTTTAACAAGGAAAAGCAGTATATTTTAAGGTCTTCATTCTGGTGATCAAGTTAGAAGGTGTCTTTTAGCTTACACAACTTCCAATGCATTACAAGGTTTTGAACTGCAACAACATTGTTAGGCCTAAGGAGGGAACTGAAGAATTGTAATCCTAATGTAATCTGAGGGTATTAGCCTAGTTTTTCTCTTGACCTTCATCAATACTTACTACCTTGCAGAAGGAAAGTCTCAAGTTTCAACAGCAGACTGGGGAAGACCAGCATTACCTCTTTGGGAGGAAAAATTATTAAGTTGCTTAAATAATATAATATTGAATTTATTGCAGTGTTGGTTTTCTTCCATCATCCCATTTGTTTGTATTCTTCCACCTAGTTACTACATTTCCTAGTAGTCTTAACGTACCCACTGGGTGCTTTACAATGTATTGGACACATATACGACAATCGTGATTTTTCCATTTGGGGCCAGCGCATTTCACAAGCACCAAATGATAAATAGATGCCCTCATAATTGAAGATGCAAAAAACAAAACAGAGAAAGAGAGAGTGAGAGCATGTGCATGATTGATTCTTATATATTGTTTATTAGTTTAATACCTTAGTACATTAACCAAACACAAGACTTCAGGACCGGTCCTCTGTGGAGTAATGTCTTCATAGAAGCCGTTCTCCCATGGGTATATCCTTTCATTTGAAAGCGTGCAACTGCCCAATGGGCTCTTCGTGCCTGCTGGCCAGATAGAGCCGATATATCAATGCAGAGGAACTGCACTGGAGAAAGAGTTTAATTCAAGCAGAGCCAGCTGAATGGGAGACTGGAGTTTTATTATTACTCAAATCAGTCTCTCTAAAAATTCAGGGATTAGGGTTTTTAAATATAATTTGGTGAGTAGGGAATTAGAAAGTGGGGAGCTCTGATTGGTCAGATAGAAGATGAAATCATAGGGAATAGAAGCTGTCCTCTTGCGCTGTCAGTTCCTGGGTGGGGGCCACAAGACCAGAAGAGCCAGTTTATCTATCTGGGTGGCATCAGCTAATGCCTCAAAACACGGTCCGCAAAGTACTCTGCAAAGTATCTCAAGCACTGATTTTCGGCTTTACAACAGTGATGTTATCCCTAGGAGCAATTAGGAGGTTTAGAACTTTGTGGCCTCTAGCTACATGACTCCCAAGCCACAATTTCTAATCTTGTGGCTAATTTTTTAGTCCTGGAAGAGCAGGATAGTCACTCGTCAAGAAGGGGTTTGTCTTGGGAAATGTCTGTTACTGTCTTTGTTTCAAAGTTAAACTATAAACTAAGTTCCTCCCAAAGTTATTTGGGCCTATGCCCAGGAATGAACAAGGATAGGTTGTAGGTTAAAAGCAAGAAGGAGTTGGTTAGGTCAGATCTCTTTCACTGTAATAATTTTCTCAGGTATAATTTTTGCAAAGGTGGTGTCAAGAGTAGTGGTGCTTTAACTGCAAAGTTCCAGTACAGGTCAAGGAATAGAAGAGAGAGAGATAGCCCTGGAGCCTGGGCTTCCTCTTTTCTTACCATCTGACTGGAAAGTTTTTCACTGTTATATTCTGTGTCCTATCAATTGGTTTTCCAAATTTTGCATTTGAAACTCTAAGAGAATCCCTTCTTGTATCCCCAGGAAGTAAGGCTTTGTCTCAAGTCCCAGCTTAATAAACGTAAAATGGAAAGGTCTTATTCAGCTGAGATTTGAGACAAAGCCTTACTTCCTGGGCAGAAGAGATTAGTTTACATTAGACAAGGAACACAGGTAACCACTCCTGTGTTGACATGGCAGAACACATTCTAGAACCTGCTGTAGGTATTTCATAAATGCTTTCCCTGGCCTGAAGCTGCAAAAGGAATACTCTACCCACAGGGCTTAGGCTCATTAAGAGAGCTGTACCAGGCCGGGCGCGGTGGCTCAAGCCTGTAATCCCAGCACTTTGGGAGGCTGAGACGGGCGGATCATGAGGTCAGGAGATCGAGACCATCCTGGCGAACACGATGAAACCCCGTCTCTACTAAAAAAGTACAGAAAAACTACTCAGGCGAGGTGGCGGGCGCCTGTAGTCCCAGCTACTCAGGAGGCTGAGGCAGGAGAATGGCGTAAACCCGGGAGGCGGAGCTTGCAGTGAGCTGAGATTCGGCCACTGCACTCCCGCCTGGGCGACAGAGCGAGACTCCGTCTCAAAAAAAAAAAAAAAAAGAGAGCTGTACCTTACCTTTGAGAAGAGTCTCTTGTTCATTCATTCAAACCTGAAAAGATATTGGTGGCAGGGTGACCAGAGGAAGTTAGGGAAAGGGTGTTCCGGGTAGAGAGTAGGGCATGTCTAGGGTTTGTTGGAGACTGTGGTTCCAATGTGAGTGTCCTACTCCATTCAGTTTCTTGGAATAATACCATAGACTAGGTGGCTTAAACAACAGGCATTTATTTCTCAAGTGCTGGAGGCCGGGATGTCTAAGATCAAGGTGCTGGCGGATTTGCTGTCTAGGGAGGGCTCACTTTCTGGCTTGTAAACAGCCACCTTCTTGCTGTGTGCTCACATGCCCTTTCCTGGGTGCAGGCTCCTGGAGAGAGGGTGAAAAGAGATCTTCTCTTTCTCTAATCCCATCAGGCACTATTTCCATCATGAGGGTCTCACCCTTATGACCTAATCTAAACCTAATTACCTCCCCCAGAATCCCCACCTCCAAATACAGAAATGTTGGGGGACACAGACATTCAGGACATGACAGTGGGTGAAATAGGTGTTCATGGAATAAATTGACCAAAGTTAGGGAAAACCAGAGCTGGAGGACCTTGACCTCCAGGGAGTTTTAGAGAGAGAAGGAGGGTGAGGAAGCCTTCCAGCAGACGTTTCATTAGTTGGACAAGCATTTATTGAAAGTCCCTGTGTTCTGGGGTTCACCTTGCTGGATGCTGTCTGCCAGGGTGTACGTGGAATTCAGCTTAGGGAAGAGGACCCAACAACAGCTGATTGGTTAGACCACAGGGAGGTGGAGGCTTTTGCAGTGGTCTGGAGGGAAGTGATAATGAACTCAAAATGAAACAAAAGGCAATAGGGGAAGTGGACTCAATGTCCGTTTCATGTCCCAAGAACTTGGTTTAAATCCTAGCTCTTGCCCGTTAACTGCTGGATGATCTTAGCTAAGTTGTTTAACTTTCAGACCCCTTTTTGTGTTGGACATAAAGTGGATTACA